TACCAACATAACTGTTCGTAAGGAAAGCGGACCGATCGCGAATCCGCGTCTGTAATGTATAGGAATACTTTGATGACTATTGTTTAATACTACTGTTAAATTTTCATTTAATTTTCCAAGTTTTCCATAATAAAATCATACCTATAATTTTCTCCGTAATAATTAATTGATGTCAATTTATCTCAAATACATCTCAAATTATACGCAATTTTTTTTCTATAATATCAACTTGATCACCTAATCTTCTTTCTATTATATCATTCCACGAACACTCGTGCAATTTATAAATAATTTATAAACTCCTCCCAAAACTCTCTATCTTTCTCTATTCTAAATTGTTGGTTTGCTTTTTAGTAGAGTCTCCTTCGGATTCGAGTTTCGCTCGGAATCTCGGTTCACCAAGTGTATCGAGATTTAATTTTTGCTACCGAATTACTACTCGAGATGCTACCACTTGAAGCAGTGAGAGCGATATTGTTTTCTTGCCGTCATTTTGTAAGAAAATTGGTAACTAGTTTCAGCCAATCGATTTCGATTTTTTCTTCAAATTGTCTAGGATGAATTATTAGTTGATACATGATATTGTCTAGACGGTACTCCACAGATGGTTCGCACATAGTAAAGTCACAGACGAGGTATAAGATTTTCAAGTAAACACGGCTCGACAAGTTCGTTCGCCAAAAAGACTTCAACATATTGTATAGAATTGAAAAACAACAGCAAATCGCACAGAAGGTTGACGCATATAAAGAATTCTCCCGACATTTTGTAAAAAAATCAACGTCTTTATTTTGATATTTTTTTCAATTTATATCAAATTTCTAAATGTCCACTAATCTCAAAAAATGATCAAATTAATGAAATATAATAATAATTCTAATTAAAACAAGCACATAAAGTTAGACGTTTTAAAAATATCGATTTTCACCAGTCCTTTTTCTTTAAGCATTGTGACTCAGATTCTAAGATGAACATCAATTCATCAGCGTCGGAAGATAATGTTTCTTTGATAAATAATAATAATACTGTAAGAAAGAAAGCAATGCTTAAAAAAAAAAGCAAAGATTCTTAGCACTTCTGGATCTGAAGACAAATTTGATGATTATTTGGAAAAAACAAATTATTAGCTCCACAAATTCAATGGTCTCAAAATAATTTTCTTCCACGAATTCACAAATTTAATAATTTCAATTCGGGAATTAGAGCAAAAGAAATAATTTTTTTCATCCCAAATACTAGATTATTTTCATTTATTCTTCTCAATGGAATTTCGTTGCAGGAAAAATTAACAGTAATTGAGAATATAAAACAAGTAATGACCATTCTGATAATATAACATTGGAACAACGCGGAACGAAATGTATTGTTTTTTCGCAATTACATTATTGATGACAAGGAACAAAAGCTACGATATTGTGTATATTGGTCTACCGATAAACTTTTTGGAGAGATAATGAGTAGAGATAGATACTTTAAGCTGTTGTAAAACTTATATTTTTTAGTGATAGATAATAATAGCATTGACCGTTTACGAAAAATATGTACGATTGTCAACAATCTTCGTAAATCTTTTACAGACAGTTTTTATTCATTCCAAAATTTATGTGCCTTGATAAAAGCCTTTTGTTATATAAAAGTAGACTATCATTTAAAAGATTACCCCTCCGGAAAAGGAATAGATTTGGAATTAAAAGTTTTGTCTTGTGTGAATAAAACCGGTTTTATACAAGACATAATAATATATGCAGTAGCCAATTCTGTTGGAACAATACAAAGCGCAGAAATCGGTAAATCGGGAAACATTGTCCTGTCACTCCTAAAATTCTATCTATCCTGCCTTTTTCATTTTACTACATACAAATTTAACAAATGCATGTGGCACAGTAAAAAAAGGTGAAGAGGCATGCTTAAAATGGACAATAAGTTTAAAAAAAAGGAGATACCGATTTTCGAACATCAAAAAATTTACTAATACTTAAATGGTGCGATAAGAAGAACGTCTTCATGTTATCAACTTTTCATACTTCGAAATTTGTCGATAAAAACGAAGAATCATCAATCACAAGAAGTTATTCGCAAGTCAGCTTGCGTAATTAATTATAATTCCTCAATGGGAGCTGTTGATAAGAGCGATATGCTTATAAGTATGATTGAACGTACAAGAAAAACAATTAAGTGATATAAAAAATATTTTTTTCGTCTGTTAACGTTCGCGTTTAGCATGCGTATTGTTTATATAAATATAAAACGGAAAAAAACATTTCCATTGCGGATTTCCAATTATAATTAATTAGAGAAATTTTGAAAAAAATATGAAGAAAATTGTGGTAAAACTA